AAAATTCTACCCGAGTTATATCTTGTTTTTAGAGTGTTTTCGTTAAGGTGTGTTGTGTTCCATGGCACTACACGATCACTTTTGAAATCATTATTATATTAATCGTAAAAGTACTCGTAGATTTTGGAGTTTGAGTTATAATTCTAGTTTGAAACTGTATGGTAAAGAACCTTAGGAATTTATTTTACCTGTAGTTGGGTATTCCATAGTTAAAGTAATTTATATAGCAATGTATATATATAACGTATTATATCACTCGGGTTTACGTATTAATGCTTGGACATTTGTAATTTAAATTAACTGACCACAAAGTTTTCTTCTTACTCCATTACAGTAAAGAACAGTTTTTTAGCTGTACAGGTACAAAGTATTTATATATATATATATATATATATAAGCCTGCATCTGATAATTACATTTTTACTTTATAAGCTGAATATACCAGGTATAAGACTTATTATTTGATTTTACAAAACTAATTCTGATCGGTATCTCTCTAATAATACTTTTAACGATCTCCTATAGAACGGAAATGTCAATACTGCTCGTTTGCTCTGGAAATTATGTTTCATTTAGAGCTGAAAAACTAGTGTATAGGGTCTAGAAAAGTCCGAACTTATTTTTCAAAATATTTAGTTCCCGAATCTTAGAAAACTATGAAAATTTACAAGTTTTATGGGTTTCGGCTTGATTTAAGTACATGAAGTATAAAGTGTTTTTTACACTATTATCAATGGCATGCTGAAACTAACAGTAGAGCTTTTCATTTGCTAACTGTAGCATATTCGAGAACGGTTGTAATACCAATTTGAAGAGATTTACTTTTGCATATTTCACAATTTTTCGCACTTTCTCGGTAATTGTATTTATTTTCATAAGTAGAAGCGGTTATAAGAAACTTACTAATTGCTTATAAACAGTCATTGTAAAAAATAATAATAAGTTATAAAATTAACATTTTCCATGGCTGGACATGGTCTAGTGGTTAACGTGTCGGGCTGTGGATTCACACTTGATGTCGTTAAACATTCTTCGCACTTTTAGTAAACACAGTTATTCGGTTCAAAAAGCCAGACAGAACTTTTGTGGCAGTGGGTGTTGCTGACTGGTTATCCCCTCCCTGTAGTCAGTAGCTCAAAACTGGGAATAACTTTACCTAAACCCTAGGAGTCTCTGACCTGGACCTAGCCCACGTTCTTATGGGCGCCATTCAGGTTGAAAACTTCATACTACTGAGCTTATAACAGCATCTTATAGGTTTGAGTCCTGAACTTATTTTTAAGATTTCGACACGTTTCGATGAAAGTGTTCACACGTGCGAATTATAAACTTTGTTTCTTTCGCAGTTATCAGAGAAATGTTCGCATGCACGGACGTTTTTTTATCAAGGTTGGTACATTTACTAATCAGAAAATCGTTTCTTCTTTAAGTTATCAATGACGAGTATGACGTGAAAATTTTCAAAGTCAATTTCTTTCAAAAATGCATAGGTTTAAGTTCTAGAAAAGGAGAACAAATCGAGAATGATTATAGTAGTTACTGAGAAGGTGATTGGTTTACACATTCCCATTTGAACACTTAAAACAATAATAATGACCGCGATGCTAAAAACTAAATCCGCAAAATTGTTCCACCCACATACACACAAAGGAGTCAAATTTATTTGAACCAAATGGAGATTCAGTCATCTTGGCTAGGAGGATGTTTATGTTAAAAGTACTTTTCTGCCAAACTGCCAAGCATCTAATGTAGGTTGCTAGTTTATTTAAGTACTGTTATACGTGCTAAGCGTTTTCAAGCGTTGAACATGTGCAACAGGATATAACGCAATCAAAACAATTTTAATAAAACGAATACATACAGCTTGGAATAAAGAGGACGTTTCACAATCTTCACATGAATTCTAGTTTCAAATATGTTTTATAATAAAGCTCATGGTTTCATAAAGATGGTTTTCAAAACGTTAGTATTCAGGTATGCACTGTATTTAAAACTGTTAGTATTCAGGTACGCATTGAATTTAAATCATTGTTAGCGTGCACTGTGCTTAAAACATTGTTAACGTATGCTCTGTGTTTAAAATGTTGGTATTCAGGAATGCGCAGTGTTTGATACAATTGAGAGGGGGTTAATCACACTTTATAAGAATGAATTGCAAATACTAATGAAAAAGTGTCGCTGCAAATGGGGGTCATGACGTTACTCGTTCACAGTTAATTCCTGACCATCCACGTGCAACGCTTCCACATTAGAAGGAAAACGGTACAGCCTTTTCCAAGTGAGGATGTGTGCACCTAGCGAGATCTTTAAACATGGCCTTGGAAGCCAACATTCATGACCAGTGGATATTTTATCAAGATGTGTTGTCCGAAATTGTTTCTCGCTATCGATGATGGAAAAAGTAACACTGAACGTAGAGCATCTTTCTTGTAAAGTGCGGTTGACCTTCAGTGGTGTTTAAAACTGTAAATATTAAGATCTGCGCACTGAACAGTGCTAGTCTTTAGGTCTATATGCATAGTGAATAATGCAAGTATCCATGTCTTTGTGGTGAATAAAGTATGTATTCAGATCTTATCAGTGAACAGTGAAAGTATTCAGATCTGTATAGCGTTTAAAACAACGTAAATATTTAGGTCTGTTAAGTATTCAAAACTATGTAATTTATTCAGATGTATACAATGAATAATGTAACTACTATTCAGTTCTCTGTAGTGAACAACGTAAGTACTCAGGACTGCGGTTTGTTGTAAGTATTTAGTCAACTTATATTGAAATATATGTGAACAATATCTATACAGTGATAATGTTTTGAGAATTAATCATATAAATGAAAACACAAGTCACTTATATATACATAACACATGCATGTTCAGTGAAATAAGTGGGTTACAAGAGCTAGGAACTTTCTCAATGCAGCTATGGATTGTTCCTTTTCTGTGCTAGTATAAGCTATTATTTTAACTTTTGAAACTACCATTTTTTAAACAAATATTTTCTTAGTAAATATGAGAACAAATAGCAAACAGTTTTTAACTCAAAATACAGACTTAGAATGAGGTGTAGGTCCAAATGCAAAATAAACGAAGGCAAGTAATATACGTATAATAATTTTAAATTAGGAAAGAAATTATAAATAAATATTTGACATTGTGAATGTGATCTTTTTCCTAGAGATGTCACTAGATGTGTAGTATGTAACTACAGTTTGTAAATAAATTATGTATCGTCATGTGGCTAAGACTACTATTTTATATGGAGAAATGTGTCCTGTTCTCAGAAGTTTGCTTTTCACCAACTTGTTTGGAGCTGGTTTCTTAATACTTAGCTTCAACTCTTGTTGTTAATGTCATACATTTTGTAGTTGTGAGGCTTAAGCTGATCTTTTGTCTTGGTGTCATACATAGTTCCTCATAGTTGTAAGGTTTTTGTTGTGTCTTTTCTTCAGTGTCACAGACATTTTGTACTTAATTGCTGCAAAGTTTCGTTTTCAATGTAGCGTATGTAGGCTTAATTGGATCTTTTTTTTTTTTAACGTATCACACATGTCTTATTGGAACGTTTAGTTGGATCTTATTCCCTTAGTGATACCCTTTTCTCTTAATGTCACATACATCTTACTTTACAGCCGTGAGGTGAGTTACATTTATGTTTTCGTAATATACATTTCCTACTTTGTAGCTGTAAGGTTAGACTTGTTTTTTATTTGTATCACATATTTTTCAATATATATATATATAGAATGAAATGCCTTCTCTTCAGTATCACACATACATTCACTTCATATATAAAATAATTGAACAAACTTTCTCAGGCCTAGTACAAGTATTTATTAATTTTACTTCATCATTCTGCCGTTATTTTCACTATCGCAAGAAAGCAATAGCTAATGAGGCTGTAGAATGTAGTGATGTAAGAGCGTGGCTGCTTTAAATACTTTTTAAAGCAGGAAATAAGCTACACATCAAGCTTTTTTTCTCTTTTGTTACCTTTCTTTTTGCATGCTTGTCCGTAAGTGAAGCTTGACTTCTTTATCTACGTTCCAGTAATGCGTTTGCATGCTCGCTTTTCAACTGTAAATGCATTCTCTGGGATGCGAGATATAGATGTATTACCATCATTTTACATTCTAACATATGCATGAACTACTTGAAATGATTCAAACTCTCTGTTCTTCATTTGATGGGGATGTATTCTTTCTATCGAACATGTGCATGTACACGTCAAACTAACCTGATTTTTTTCATTTAAATTAATCTCCATCTGTGCTTTAAGGTAATCTTGTATAAAGTGTTTTTATTTCTGTCCAGTTGGAACTGATTCCTTTTCATGAAGTATGTATAACATTTAGGCATAATACATATATGTTAGAGGAAATAAATGCTTTATTTCTTGCAACTTCGAATAGGTTATAACTGTGTTGTCTTTTATATTTTTCCCTAACACAACATTTCTTATTCGAGACTTTGAATTTTACGTTTGTGGATAAGAGGTTTTAAACCTAGTAATTGGCTTATCTTAATATCAAGTGTTTAAAATGTTTAGAACAAATTTTCCATTGATAACATAATTGCACAACGCAGCATAACAAAAAAAAAGCACTATAGTATAAATAAAAGAGCAAACAAACATTTTGTCTCTATTCTGATACTACCTTAAATTTTAGCACATTTTAATTTACTTCATTAATGTCAAAATTGTATTTATTTTTAATACTGTAAATCATAACAATAGG